TGGCCGTTCCGATTGGTTGCTTTTTAATTTAGGCAAAGTGTCGTAGAAGCTGGAAATCTGCCCTCCCTCCCTTCCACCCACCCCCTCCTCAGCTCCCTTCCCGGCCCCTCCCCTTCTGCTCCCCTCAACATCTTAACTCTTCACGCCCAGCGGATAAAGCAGAGTTCTCCCAGCACAGAGCAACTTGGGCATGTGGGGGAGGGGGAGAGGGAGAATAAAAGAGGGTGGGGGGAAGAATGAAAAGATGAGGGGAAGAGAGGAAAAAAACCACGGTCTAATAATGCATTTTTTTACTTGCATGCACATGAGTCTGCTCATGGGCGAATAATTCCCATCATCTGTAAGCAGCCATTGTATATAGGCTACAGTCTACATAAATCAAACAGTCATCACCTACAGAAGGAAGCATCCCGTTCTGTTTCAAAGTTTTGTGTTCCATTTATCTCTCTCTGCCTAAGCCAGAAAGGCAAAGTGGGCGAGCTAATGTTTTTTTTAAAGATTTATGCCGGTTTTTGGCCATTCTCTACCCTTATGATGACTTACCAGATCTTAGACTGGAGCTAACGTGGCAAGTTATTCCCTTAATTACAGGCAATTAGCTATACGCTCCTTTGTTTTAGTTTCTGAGTTCTCCTGTGTGTAGAATGCAGCCCTTTGGACATTTATATGAATAGTTCACCGAACTGTTTAATATCGACAGCATTTGAGAGGGTGCACAATAAAATGCCTTGACCTAACAGAATAGCTCTAGCTTCTGACCATGTGCATTATTGTAAAATATGCTAAGCCTGAATGCTTAGCTTTTTTAAAAAAAATCCAAACTGAACCCTGCTTTATTTCCATCACATAGTCCGCTGTCCGCATTTCCTTCTGTTAAATATATACATTTGGGGTCCCCCCATTTTTTCTTATTTGGAAAGCGCTGGTATGCCTCACGAAACAGATCTGGTTGTATGAAACGCTTTATTATTTCTAGTCCAGCTGAAAGAGTTAAGGAGGGCGGGGGAAGGATAAGGAGAGAGAGAGAGAGAGAGAGAGAGATGCGACCAAGCGGAAACGCTGCACACACAGGCAACCTCAGTGAACCAAGAAAAAAGAGAAAGTGGCAACCAAAACAAGGGCAAATTGAACACTCCTCGGGGATTTTCAATGAAATAACACAATTCGGACATTCAAGGAACACATCTTTACTAATGATTGTGTTTGTGTTGTGTAATCCATACAGGCTACGTATCCATCATGTATAATGTATGTACACATATAGTAGCGTGTGTGCGCGCGCGCCTATGGATAGAAAAATGCATTATGTTTACATTAAAATGTGAAACACAACGCCCCCCTCTTTCAGTTAATAATTTCCCCACAAAATTCAGCTAGTTGAATTCAGTTTCCAGCACAGACTACATCCCCAACAGCAAGTATGCAGCATTGGCGTGATTTGAAGATTAACTGTAGGCTAGCAGAATTTATTTAGGATCCTGTCCAGCTCCTTGCTTGCACGGTAAAAGATACCATCTTAGGTAGGTTTAGAAAAACCATTAATGTGAAGTATACAGATCTGAAGAGTAATGGTAACTAAACCCTAAACATAACGATTTTTTTTTGTTCCCAGGCGTCCTCCAAAGGCTTCATTTTTATATGTCTAAAAGATCTAACACAGATTTCATTGAATAAATCTGAGATCTCCAGGTGCAGACGTTTGAATAGTCAGTGCCAGAACCCCATGTTTTCCTTTCCAGCCGATTTTGCTTGGATCAGGCTCAAAAACCGAGTGAGTCTCGTGGTTTTGTTTACACTGAATGGGGAGGATAGGAACGGTGCCATGGGGCCGTCTTTCATTAATATACAGTGAGGATTTTGTCTAAATTACTGCTATGAATTTCACAGTACACGCTTTCAAAAGCCGTCTCAGGTGGCCTGATGAAACGTGATAGCGCCTCTGCAAACAGATCTACATTCTTTAAAGAATCCTAAAAATATTGTACACACGCACAACAGAAATAAGCTTGTGCCGGAGTTTTGTGTTTTATAAAAAAAAAAAACCCACAGAAACAAAGCAAAAAACAACAGCCAACAACAACTTAGTTCCCTAACTCTCGCCCACCCCCTCCCTTGCAGAGTGTGATTGTTTTGTCTGGAAAAAAAAATCCAAAGTATAACAAGGGGAGAACAGTTAGTGCTGATTTTCATTTGCATAAATTTTCATATATTTTGGTGAAAATAATAGACAAGTGGAGAGCTGGGCTTAGTGGAGTCAGTGCAAAGGAAAATCTAAGCATGGATCGTTTCGCTGGAGTTGAGAACATGATTTTTCCCCTGTCACCTTATTAAAACAAAAATATATACATTTTTTAAAAAACCCTCTAATTCCTGGAAGTCTGGTCGGTAAGTGTTTTAATTTTTTTCTATTTTGTTGTTTTCTTTAAATTCTTGTGAATCTATGTTTAAAAGCTTAAGAAAAGACAGGGAGCCCATGGTAAGTCTGGAAAGGAGCAT